AATACCAATTAAGGCCTTAGTTTTATTTTGAAGAATTCAATGCCTTTTAAGACTTTTTAAGGACCCGCGGGAACCCTGCATGAGGATATCCTTCAGCCAACACCAAGCCTCAGAAATCTGTATCGGATGTAATGTAGTGTATTATATACACTGTACTTAATCTGTATTATTTTTTTGTATTTGTATCTTTTTTTTGCTTAATTTTAACTTAATACTTTTTTGCCTTGTAAGCTGCTGGTAACCTTCATTTCCGGAGGGAGTCTTCCCAAGAGATCAATAAAGTACCGTCTAAGTCTAAGAAATGTAGTCCGGTGCATCCCAACTGCACAGGTTGTAAAACAAAACATTGGGTGGGAGTTTCTACAGGAAGTCGCACCTGTTTAGGTCCACCTTGAAGGATCAGCAGCTCCTTGACAACCATTGGCTGGTAGACTTTTCCAAGGAGGCTCCTGAGGGCCTCTTTACACCGTTGACGCACATCTGTGCCAAGTGGCTATATCAGGAAGGGTAGGACAGAAAATTAACCAACAGAATAGAAAATGAAAGAAGAATAAAGGTGTAGGGAGAAGTAAACTCGCCTGGTCGTCCTTTCGCTGCGGCTCATAGCCCAGCTGGCACAGCGCTGCCATGACGTCCCCCAGATGTCTGCTGAACACCAGCGTGGCCAGAGTTGCGAGCTCCGCCACCTGCAGCAGGACTCTGGTTGTGGTCAGCAAACGATGTCCCACGGGAGGCGGAGCCTCCTTCTGGATCAGTTCTTCCACCACAGCACCGAACGCCGACCTGCAGCCAAGTGGGACGCCGACCCCTGTGGACAGGTACGGACAGAGCCCCAGAGAGACCACAAACTGCAGGGCGGAGGTGACAGTCTTCTGCTGGGAGACGCTAAGGACGTCGGGGGGGAGCGGCGGGGCCATTTCAGGTGTACGGACTTTTCCTGCAGGAGGTGGCGGAGCCCCCTTGAAGCGCTTCAGCTCATCTGTCAGATGCTGGGTTAAGGTGAGGAGGAGGAGGAGACACTCCTGAACAAAAATCCAGGTGACGTCTTCTGTGTCGCTGCTGAACCAGTCGGCTGCTGCCTTCACCTCCTCCCTGAGCCGCCCCACCCGCTGCAGGCCGCCGTCGCTCTGAAGGCGCTCCAGAAGAAGGGCCCTGTTGGCCCCAAGAGCCACATTTAGGGCCTCCTGCTGTGAAGTCTGTGCAGACGCCTCTGCAGACACAAATGCACAGACAGTCAGCTGCTTTCCAGAAATAAAATAAAAACTGCAGAAACAGAGGAAACAACAGGGGGGCACTGACTCTGATTCAGCACGCATGTCACCAGATTCATCAACCATAATAGGACTTATTTCAATAAGCTTTACAGTCTACAATCACAGTATTCGCTCCAGAATGACGTTCCTGCTTAATCTAATTTTACGTGTTTAGTTTTTTATATCTAATATTTCAAAGAAATTAAAATGGAGGATTTGATAATCATGTTGTGGTCATCAGTTTCTCCAGGATTCTGCGGTGGAATTTTTTTTGGTAGTTTTTATGGATAACAAAATCACATCCATTCTCCACTAAAGTTAAGAAACATATTGAGTTTGCCAAATCAGTTCATAAGCAGTCGCAGCATCAGTGTCCAGCCCAGTAAAGCACTCAGACGCGCTCCTCATTCCATCCTGTCAGCAGTGCAGCTGTGGTTCTGTTCACTGATATTCACAGCTCACAATCTGGACAGCAGAGTTTTTAAAAAGAGAAAATTCAGGAGGTATTGGTTCATTAATTGTTCCTTTTCATTTCAACGTGTTTGAATGTGAAGAATACATAAAAAACCCTAAAGCAGCGGGTAAAAAAAACCCTAAAAGCAGAAAGAAACAAATTAAAGACAGAAAGCCACCAGACAGGATGACAGGGAAGAGACATTGCTGCCTCATCAACCTGCAAGAAGATGGAAAAACATTTTAAAGCCCAACAATCACCAGAAGAAAACATGTCAGACAGCAGCGGAGAACTTAGTGACAAATGACAGAAGCTCAGTGACTCCATGTTTACAGGCTCACCTTTCTGACAGCATTCTTAGGAAAAGCCAAAGCCTCTTCCACAGCCGACATATTTTTATATGATAACTTTAATGTAAAACTGTAATCATGTTGATGACTTTCAAATCTCTGTTAAATTATTTAAGTTCAATTTCTAAAAGGTACTGACAAAAGCAGGAGACTGAATTCTTACCATGAATATGACAAAAACACTGAATTCAGAATTATAGGATTCGTGGAAATTTTCTTTAACACAGGTGAAGACAGCAATTTAGAAATAGAATATTTTATATTAGCTTTATATATGTAAAAAATACTCTTCATGACAAGTTAACCCTTTATAGGGCAAGTTACTGTTTTTTATCCCTTCCCTTACA